ATACAGTTACGCACCAGAATAACATTTGGAATTTTCTGGTTTGGGAAGAACTGACTTGAGATATGGAAAGCCAACATCAATAAAACTGTGCATAGAACCATTAAACACAAATTGTTCCATTTCATTCTTTCTTGACTCTAGGACCCATATTTTAACTTAGCACTGTTTGGACTTCTTTGTACCAACACAGCCTGTCCACATCCATTGACCGAGGATTTAGAGGAAACTTGACCTGGTTATGAACAAGAATAGGGATATTAGGTTTAATCCCCAACATAAAACAACTGCCCAGTTGACCATGTGCTCACCGCTGATGCTGTGACCAAGCAAAGGCTACATCCATACTTGTGTAATACATACATCAGTTGATATTGACCAGTATTATTGTATGTTATGTCATTATGTCATAAGCCACAGTGGACCCTGATCCTTGGCTGTGAAAGGGTAACAGCGGTCATGATCCTTCTGGCGCAGTAGGCCAGTGCTCAATAATTCAGCAAACTCAGATCTAATTTCATCGAAGCATCCCAAAGCCAATACCAGTGTGTCACCTGCAGATACAGTCTCATATGTAGTCAGCATTTAGTACAAATTGAGTATAATTTGAAACATTAGTATTGACCAAGTCATAAATGGTAGTTGGTAAGTTTTATATTTTGATTTGAACAATTCATGTACAAGATCACTAGCCACGCTGGTACCACCTAGTGCCTCCGCTCAATTGAATTCTCCAGCGACTAGGTTAGGAATCAGAATACACTAAATGCTTTACAAGAACCCCAGAAATTCTAGACCACGCATTGGCCAATTGTGAAGAGTTGTGAAGCCATGACCAGGGCCATTTTTGTGGTACAGCCCAACAGTAAACAAAGCGGTTGAGATGGATGTGGACAAAGCCATACATTCTGTGTTGTAACGATTCCCGAGATCAAGGATTTAAAGCCGGAACAAAGAGAATTTTTGTTGAATTTTATCAAGGGGAAAGATGTTATTGCCCTTCTTCCTACAGGATTTGGAGCATTACATACATCACAACCAAATAGCAGCGATTGGTTAAATAAAATAAGTACCCTCCTACCTTCGAGCAAACCAATGCTGCAAGGTCAGACGGTTTCCATGAAGTGAAACCGGCTGATGAATCAGGCTACAAGTTCACTAGGGGTGTGCAAAAATATTGAAATATCTATATATCGTGATACTAAATTTTGGTGATACAGTATTGTTATCATGGGCTGTATTGATATATATTGCCAAGATATTTTTTTGGTATCTTTTTGTTGCTTATTTAGTGGAAGAAAACATCTTTATGCAATACACTTGTTATATTCACTGTTTTGATGAGCAAGGTGCTATATATCAACACACACTTTGTCTTGACAGTTGCTTCTATGTGTAAATGCATTTTTTTGCATGCGTTTTTTTTCAGTAGCTTACTAAAAGGCAGAGGTACAACTACGTGGATATCCTCCTGTCTTTCTCTTTTATTAGTCTTATGAAACACTATTTTAAAATGAAATGAAAAAAGTTACAATAAAAATAATATAGATACAATATAAACAACTTTAAAATTTCATAATTACCATATTTTACCAAAAGTGTATTTAATATCTATGTAGTGTCTTGTGTAATGCCAATTACAAATCTACCACATTCAGCATTTTCTTAGGGTCTTGGTCCAGCTGAAATCGTGAACAGCTCTTTTATTCTCAGCCTGAGCCATAGTCAGTGCTTCTTGTTTAGGCCATTCATTGAGGAAGATATGCGTGGTTTTATTCTAATGTATTCAAATAGCATAACACAACTCACTGTGTACTTAGTCTGCTCCCCCACATGTTCTCATAGACTGACAGCACAAAGCCACATTGTCAAAGCAGACGGAGAATTCCTGAGATTTTCCTTTTGAGGACTTGTCCACTCTGTCCACACTAAACAGTCACAGATTATTGTTGGACTTTTTACTATCTTTAAATTTAAATTATGCAAAATTGACCATTGTGAGCTTTTAGCTATATTAAAATGTTGTTTCCTCATCAGAAACATTCCTTGAGTTGTGCTTTGTTTCATTCACACATGTTAAAGTAATCCTGCGTTAAGTTTTCTACATCTCCAAAACCCTGTAATGTCATGAAGCGGAAGTTTTCATTTCACTTTTACTTTTTGTTCAGTCAAGATCTGCAATTCCAGGGCTGAAATTATCCAACTGATTCTAGTGTGAAGGTGTACGGAGTTAAAAAGCACTTTCTGTATTACCACATGATGGAAAAGAGTGTTTGAAAGAAGAGCTCAACATAAATATGCCGAGTTTCTGTCTCAAACATGTGCTAATAAATCAAAACTCAACTCCAGGTATGTTTCTGATGAGGAAACAACACTAACATAAATCAGGAAATTGTGTAAGAACAAAAGAATGATAGAAATCTGCAGTTAAATCCTTATTATATTGTTCACTTGGGAAAAATATCCAACCACTTTCCTCATGGTTTGCTGACAAAGGGGAAACTTTCATCTCTCTCTCTCTTTGCTCAAAACATTGTTCACAAAGAGCATGAGGTTTTCAACACCCACAAATCATACAAACAGGGCAATTTTGCTGAAGAGGTTCTGAGAGAGGTATTGTTGTGATTGTGATAGCAGATGAAAACCTTTCATTGACCAAAAAAACATTCGATTTCAATGGTGCTCTCCAACTGAATAGATTTTAGTGATGTTGAGGTGATGGTATGGCCTCGCAACATGCATATTGGTTACTGATGACACAATTCCACACGTAGGCCTGTCACAATAAATGAGGAGGTCTGGAGGAGGTTTTTGTAGATACTTTTTCTTTGTACTAGCCAGTAGGGATGTAACAGTAACTGAATTATCATGATATCGTATTGTCAAAATTCTCACAATAATATCGTGGGCTGTCACAGTATATCGAATTACAAGTTTGTTTACTTAAATGCATGGTTTTATAGTTGTAACAGCTAATAAACATAGGGAACTACATATCCCATGATTCAATTCAGTGCAGACAACGTGAAATATATATTTTTACAAGAATTCTTGGGATTATGACGAAAATAATTCACACCAAAATCTTGTCAAGATATTTTAAGAGCAAAAAAGTCTCCTATCTACAATGTAGATCTATCTACAATTACTCCTAGCCTCTCCAAAATATCGCAGTAAATATCATACCATGAAATGCATATTGTGATAATATTGTTCCATGAGATTTGGATATCATTACATCCCTACAAGCCAGGAACTCTTTGTTATTTGTCAGTACTATGATTTGAGATTAACAAGGTTCAAAGTTCCTATATTACACAAAACTAATTCTTGCTGAAATCATCCACATTATTCTAATGACGGTGTATGACAGTTTAAAGCACTGTGGAGAACTTCCTGTATTACCACATGACACATCACAAGATGGAACAGTGTTTTTTTATTTAGCCTGAATATGCAATTTGTGTGTTAAACATGAATTAAACAAAACACAACTCAAAATATGGGCCCTTTAATAAATAACAAACGCACAAACTAAAGTGTTTCAATTTCTTATGTATTTCTTGCAGCTTTTTTTTTTGTATCTTTAGAATTGTTTTGAGGGATAATCTTTTAGGGTTTAGCTTTAGGGTTGTTGTGTCAGTGGCAAATAAGTTCAATGTTATATTTTCGTCAGCAATATATCACAAAATTTCATAGTGACAGACAATTACATGTTATGCCTACCAGTTCAAAACACTGTCAATTGCACAACCGCATTACCAGCTTGCTTTTTCTGGAAACTTTGGTCATCTCCACTGGAATCTTCTGGTGTTTTCTGTTTTTGGAGCACGCTCAGTCCGCTCACTGCATTTAATTTTCTTTGCCTCCCACACACACTCGCCTTCCTGGCCGTCTCTTCTGCTTTGGTGCTGTTAGCCCCACAAAAGTGCTTATTTTTGCGCATGTTTCCCTGGACAGCAATATTTTTAACTGTAGATAGCATGTATTTTATATCCCTGGACAGATCCACCCATACGGCCCAACCCTTGACTTCCGCTCAGGACAGGAAATAGAAAGCATATGAAGTATAGACCTGCCTTTGTAGGGTTGTACAATTAATCAAACTCTAATCGAATTGTATCGAATGATCAGCTTGGGTGTTTTTAATCAAGAGATCAGGTCAGTGAAAGTGTGTGATTTGGAATAGAGTTCAGGGGGGGTATTAAAGGTATTTTTTATGTTCAGAAAATGAATATTGCAAGCCATTTTTTCATATCACCCAGCCCTACTTTGTAAACATCAACTCTATACAACTCTCTCTCTTCTGCCCACTCGCTTCAAAGTATTTATAACAACAACTTGCCTTGTGGTATTCTCTTTGCATTCTACACTGGCCCTGTCTTGGTGGTAGTACTTCAGATTGATACGCTCATGCCTCATGCTGGCCATATTGCAGTGTGTAGGTGGTGAATCAGTGTGATCATCCTGTAGCTCAATGCACAATTATGCATGTTCTATTAATGTCTCTGTTCAGACTCATAGACGCAAACAGAGTTCTACAGAGTTCAATGTATTTTAAAGGAATGGTGACTTCAGTTCTATCAGACCTTTAAAAGCGATGAACCTGATTTATGTGCAAACTGTTGAATTACCACTACCAACCGTTTATACTATATTTGCATAATAGCTCGCTCTATGAAAAGCTGGAGGTGTCATTGTGTGCTTGGTATCATTGAAAAGACTTAAATGTAGCAAATAACACACTGCTATAGCTCAGATAATTGTGATTGATGATTCTGAATCTGATAACAAAGTGTGACTCCCAGTTTGTTGGAGTCTTTTTTCATCTTAACATATGTTCTAAAAGTACAAAAAATTTTCTTCAGATGAGTTTACATCAATGTACAATTAGCATTTCTATTATGCTGTTTTGTGATTCAAGAACTGAAAGCCTCTCACAAATGCCTTTATCACTTTATCACTATCTGATTAAGCTAATATCGTCTCTCTGCTTTCTCCAGGAGGCTCAGGCGCAGATGGAAGCTGAGGCCCAGGCGCAGCGAGCTCTCGCCCAAACGCCAGACCTGTCCCCTCGCCTGTGTCACATGACCCGCTCAGAGACCGGCTACGGCTTCAACCTCCACAGTGACCGCTCCAGACCAGGACAGTATATTCGCTCACTGGACCCTGGATCACCTGCAGACCAGGCGGGACTGCGGCCTCAAGACAGACTTATAGAGGTAAGACCAGGACTCTGCCATCTTGTTCTGTTTCTTGAGGAGGTCTGGGCACAGTCAGACTACATGTGTGGGTGTGTTTTTCTGCACTTAATGAGTACAAGGATGAAGAGGTAGGAAAGAAAAGGTCTTATTGAGTGCAGGCAAGTTAGTAAGTGAACTGAGCATTGTGTCCTTCAGTGTCTTTACTATTACTATTTCAAAAGAGGATAATGGAAGAAGCCTTAGCTTGGTTATGGTTATGAAACAACCAATGTTAGAGACAACTGTTTAATATATTCTCCAATAATAAAATTTTTGCCACTGTCTGTAGCACATCATTACCAAGGTACTACTTCTCAATCCACACACAAAAACATTAGGGACCTTTTTTGCAACAAAACAAAGGTTTTTATGTTGTTCTTGTTGACATAAACATGCCAACCCCTAGTGAAAATCTCAGTCACCAAGTACTTTACATCAACTAAATATTGACAGGAATTATCTTTAGCACATCATTAAGAAAGTCAGTGTTTATATATCTATATATATATCTATATATATCTATCTATCTATCTATCCATATATATATATATATATATATATATATATATATATATATATATATATATATATATATATATATATATATATATATATATATATATATATATATATATATATATATATATATATATATATATATATTGACTTTTTTCATTTTGAGATAGTCCAGTAGTGAAACATGAAACACAATAGCTTTGATATCCATGTATTACTTCATACCTTCTGCCCTCACCTGATGAAACCCAGATGTGCAGTGCTTGTCTAAACCCAGCTGTAATTTAAATGCCTCTCAGTGGGGACTATCACGGCCCTCTCTAAACATATAACTGGAGTCAGGCGCTGCAGTGGCTCTGTTTGAGTGCACCAGGGGCCAGTGACAGGGAGCTAGATCAGTCAGAGCAAGGGCTGATGGGAAGAGACAGTGGGGGTTAGGGTAAGTGTCTGCTGATCTAAAAGTAAGTGAAGGGTATGTTGACACAGAGGACATAAATAAGTGAAAAAGGCAATTTTAGCCAAGTTGCATTTCAAAAAGTTGGGATTATGGCAACAAATATTTCGCAGTTGCATTTGAACTAAAGATCAGAAGTACACCTGGGTCAATTTGCCGTCAATAGAGAGATCTATAGGCTTATCTCAAAATTCTGTTTAGCATTTACTTTAAATAATCTGCTCAAAAAACCTTTCAAACCTTTTCTTCCATGGACCACTCCTGGACAAATGAAGGATTACATCTACCAGTTTAAATCCATATTCATTCACTCCCCGCTATGGGTGGTGGTAAACTCCTCATGAACTTCCTTTTTTTCTTTGTGTAAACAGTTAAAATAAATAAAATTATACTTTATAGCCAACACAACCACTTGTATACTCATGAATTTCCAAATAAAAAGTTCTTCTTTCATTCCCATGACCTTTGACCTCACTAGTGGTACTTCAGGCGAGAGGGACGAGTCTAACAGGATGGCTATAAAACTCAGACAGGTTATACTGAGCATGTTTTAAAGTTTAGTGGAATGTAGATCTATTTAGATTGCAGTAGACAGTACAGTAGATGGAAATCTGCACATTCCTAGTTCATGTAGACCAACAGGAGAAAGGCAGCTAGACTAAAAGCTTATGAATTTACAGTATAATATCTTTTTAGCTGGATTTAGTTAGATTTCTACAGTTTCCACTTGTGATATTAGGTCCACTTGGGTATTGTCATCTCTGGCTACTTGGTTGAAGTTGCACCATGTAACTTTTCTATGTTACTGCTTTGCCTAAAATGTTCCACACTATGACATTTACTGATCTTGTATTTATTTAATTACAGCATTTTTATTGTTTACCTTAAAAAACATGCTTACTGTGAGCAAAGACCTCACCTGCCACTTGACGTGGCTAAAGAGTATACTTAAAGTTTCATTCGAAGACTTAATTGCAAGAAATAATTGTACAAAATGTGACTACACAGCTCTCTAAAGGTTTGTGGTTAAAAAAGTAAAAATCTGTCCAAAAATATCGACATAGCTTATTGGCCATTGGTTTCTTTGTATTCCAAACAATTGACATTGATCATGAAAAACCCCACGTTGGTCGATCTCTACTTTTTACTGTTTGTCCACCAACCTATTCATTGCATACATTTGATAGTGATGCTGATGTGTCCTATAGTCACCTGCAGTGGTCGGTAATTATGCATAAGTCCAGCGCTGCTCTTATTTGTCCGTCTGTCAGCTGCTCATTAGAGAGCTGCTTCTACTCCCTCCATGCACCATTAGACGGGGTTCTCTACAGCCTCTGTGATCAGCTTTCTGTCAATGTTTGTTCTGACTCACGTAAATGCCACAAGGGGTCACCGGTGTATACTCATGTCTGGATAATATCACCTTTTCAAACAGACAGAGAGCCTCACACTTCACACTTCCCTAACCCAAACCACTGCAGAGAACAGCCATATATTTAGTAGACTTTAATTCATAGCATCGGCCTGGACTGTCTCTTGTATGGTTTATCATTCCCAGCGTAAAGTAGTGCTAACACTTTATTGTGTTCTTAAATGATCTGCTGTATGGTGTCCAAGAAAGACTCACGAACTGAAACATCTACAAAGTGACTACTGAGCTTTTTGTTGAACTATTTGACAGTCAGATAGATTTGTATTATATTGTGAGTCATTTCTGTGTATTAGTATGGTGTGGCCACAACCATGTGTGACTACTGTCACACTGGATTAAGTTCATTTGGTTAACTTGTGACTACACTATTAAACAGACCATTAAACAAGTGCATACAGTGCGTTTAAAGCCCCTTATGTAAGCTCTATCAGTGGTAATTCTATTCCCCCCACACACTGTTGGATTAGGAGGTTCCCAGAGGACAGGCCTGTCCCATGAGAAAGTGTCCTCTGTGCGGCTGCTGCTGCACCATGTGTTAATTAGCCCAGTGACAGAGCATGTACTTGTACTGTCTCCAGTGGGACGCTCTTCTCTTGTGGAGCTGTGAAACACCTGTTGTTTGGACAGATACAAAGATGCCTGCGTCTTTAACTGATGATCTGGATCTGCTCTCAGACAGACTAAACTATCTGGAGTGAAGTGAAGAATGCATGTGTTGATATTGCACTTTTGCATTTATTATTTCTTGAGTTATAGCTTTCAACTTTTCCACTCTCCCAGCTGAACATTGTGCCTGTTCCTAAGATCTAAATTTAAACTTTGGCAAATATAAAGTATTGATTGTTTTGTGTAAAATTATGTTTAGTTCCATTGTTGTACATATATTTATCCTGCACAACACTGTGGCTTTTCATAAGTGGTGAATTTTTTTAAAAATCCCCGAGGACACTGACATCTGAAACTACCTATAGCAGGAGTCCTGGTGAACCATCAATAATAGATTGACTAACAGCACTAACTTGTTGTGTTACAAAGGCACCATTTCTGGAGTCACTGTTTGTGAATCTCCCAAAGATATATTACACTAAATGCATGAGTGGTTTGACTTTCAGACCATTGATGACATCTTGTGAAACTATTAAAACTGGTTGTCACTGACTCGAAATAATCAATTATTAATAATATCAACTTGAGTAACCCGATGCTTTAGCTGGCTCATATATGTTTAAGATTAGTTGGATAATTGCTCCCTCTGCTGGTGGGATGTAGAGGCACATGCTAATGGATTGATACACATATAAAGAAGCATTAAACCGATTTAAAAATACTGAAATTGTTTTACTGTTATTATTGAGAAGTACCACTACAGTAATAGTTCTGTTATTACTGTTGCTACCATTTGTAGAAGTCACTGGATGGAATTTACTATTACTGCATCTAGTTTTGCTCAATTGAAGTTCCATTGAATTTTGTACAATGACAATAATCAAACAATCTAATCTAATCTAGAACAAATGTTACACATCAAGGAAACAAACAGATGTAACTCCTCCTTTGTAGATTGGTGTACCCACAGTATTTTAATGTAATTTTAATGTAATTTTAATGTACTTTAAGTGAGTCTTGTTCTTTGCCCAGGTGAATGGTGTGAACATCGAGGGCATGCGGCATGCAGAAGTGGTGGCCTTCATCAAAAGAGGAGGAGACGAGACGTGGCTGCTAGTGGTGGACCCGGAGACAGATGAACACTTTAAGAGGAGAGGGATTACGCCAGCACTTAGTCATGTCAAAGGTAATAATAAAAGGAATGATTTAATGTGTGAAACTGGATTTTAAAATATGTTTTGGGGTAGGGGAGTGAGGACGTAGTTTCTATATGTGACGATAAGATTCAGGAGCTCAGTTAAGCAAGTTTCAATATTTAATATCTCTATCATTCTGCAGACTATGACGGTCCTCCTGTTTGCAACGGCCAGCCCAGTCCTCAGATCAATGGAGGCTCCAGCACACAGTCCATCCGCTCCACGCAGTCTGACCTCAGCAGCCACGGCAACAGTACGCAGGTGAGGCAGCGCTTTGAACAGCCACATGAAAGCACCTGTCTTTTCTGTCAATGTTTCATGTAGTTTTGTGTGGGATTTCAATAGTTGCATTTTGTAGGAAAATCTTTATCTACACCAGATGGCAGTATTGTATATTGTTTGGCAGAGATACTTAAACAATGAACATCTCAATATGTGATTAATCAGCTTTTCTAAATGAAATATTAAAACATGATGATACAACTTTCTATTAATATAAGTCAGTGTCATAGGTTGATCTATAAATAATACATATTTAAACTAAAGCTGTACCTCTATACCGCAAAACACCAAATGGAATTTTTTTTTCTGAACTGTAAATCTGATGTGTCTCTGTCCAGCTGGCCGATGACGATGGCAGCCAGCTGCTGGACCCTTTCTCTGAGATGGGCTTGCGACTGAGCGCTACAGCGGCAGAAGAAAAAATGAAAATCCATGCCAAAGAAAAAAGGAGAGCTCCACAGATGGACTGGATGAAGAAATATGAGCTTTTCAGAAATTTTTGAAGCTTGAATTCTTTCAAGGTCATTCACAAACTCTCCTTAAGCTGATCCTATCCAACTGAAGACCATCTCTTCCTGTAATGAAATGTGACCAAAGGATGTGCAATGGATGTGAAGCCACTTCATAGACAGCTCCAAACATATGTTTACCTTGCCTAAAAGTTACAGACAGTTTTAAATGCTTTTATACAATCAAAATTTTCCCCTGTGAAGAGAAGTATTCAAAGACTGAAAGGGGGACATTTATTTTTTATATGAAGAAATTGTCAGTTGATTGTTTTTTGTTGAAAATTATGGACACAACACTGTGAATGAACCCGCCTTTAAAAACATTAAACCACACCATATAGAAACCTATAGAAGAAATGTAAAATAAAAAAATATAAAAAACACTAACACCTTACTAATACTCCTGAATAGATACAATTCACGATCCGTAAAACAAGAATATTAAATCTTATATCTATCTATTTACATGCATTGTCCACTAGTTTTGAATAGAGGGAAACACCACTAATAATTAAAAAAAAGTCCATATTGGCAATTAGAATGTAATAGAAGCCTGAAGGCAAACTAAGCGAAAAGTAGTTACTGCACTATGCAAAAGTAATAACACAACTTTAACTTTGAATTGATTTATATCCTTCTTTGTATTTAAACATGTTTCCCATAGTATTATGTGACTGATCAGCAAAGGGCAGCCTGGTATTCAAAGGATGGCAACAAATTTGAATACAATATACTAATGATGAATTGTAATGTGAATACAGCTGCTAATATGAAGATTAACAGGAAATTAAGGGAAAGTTAAGTTTACATTTGGTAAATTAAGACTCTAAAAGTTGCATGAGGTGGAGCCTGTTTGATTGTTGGAGGCTCGTGAACAGTGAGGTCAGAGATGATGGGAGGATCTGCAGAGGAAGACTGCAGGAGCCATAGAGCTTACAGTGGATTACTGCCACACAAGGACAGCTGTTATACATATGTTCACACGCTTTGGAAAGACTGCTCTGTGGAAAGAAAGATGTACCACTGAACTAAACAGCCCACCCACAGTGACCTGATCCAACAACAAGCCAGACTCTGCTGTTTATCTTTTTTGTATGCAGCAACTTCAAAGGAGTTGTAGGCTATTTTTTGACTGTATAATTTTTCTCATCAACACCAGATGGCAGTATTGTGTAAAAATGGCTGAAAATTCATTCCATCTTTTTTAGCTCTTCTGGACAAGGTTGAGAGCTGTTGTGTAAGTATAGCTGTTTTGACTTCCCGCTCCCCAGACACTTCCACAAGATGAAAATGAGGAAAATCTAATAACAAGAGGATCTTTCTTGCCCTCTGTATGTTTGCTGATCAGTGATCCAGCTCTTCAAAAATGTTTAAGTGACAATTTAGTTAACAGCGAACAGCAAGTTTACAGTCAAGTCTTCAGACAGACAAAAATATATTATGGAAATAGCTTTATTGCTATCAGTCAATTGATGCAAACCAAAAACTACAATGTGACAGATCAGACCATAACTAATTGTATGATGCTAAAACACCAACAAACAAAATTAAAATAAAACATAAAATACAACTTGAGTCATTTCTTCAAATAAACAGTGGTGTGTGGCAGCCTGTATGTTTTGTAACACTTTTTATATATTTCATGCGTGTTCTATATGTGTCATGCTCTAATAGATATTCTCCATATTGTAAAGACACAGACTCCATTGTAAATATGTAAACAAACAATATATTGCATTTTTAAATAAAGAGTGACATTTATATTAGTTTTGTCTCTCATACATTGACCTGTAAGTATAAACGTGTTTCTTTACCCTTCTGTCGTGGGCTGGCCATGGATTATACAGCAGGAGTACAGTTTCAGTTTTCTCAGAATTCTCCACTGAGCAGCTGCTCTGAGGTTGAACAAAGGTCAAAAGAGTGCACGTGAGTATGGATGTGTGTGTGGTGAGAAGCAATGGCATAGAGAGCCCATTATAGCCTATTATTGTTATGAACCTTGAAGTTTTCAGCATCATTCAACAAATCAGCGATAACGGCCTGGACGTAGTGGTCCTGTACAGTTCTCATATAGATACATCTTATGTATAAATATGTGCATGAAGGTTTATAAATTCCGTCTGGATACAACATAGGTTTATCTCAGTAGAACATGAATTATTCGTGAGCATATATTTGAATAGTTTGAATAAAAAAATATGCAATGCACAGTATTTTCGAATGCATCATACACCTGTGGTCAGGTAAATCCGATTAACATTTGTTTTTCAAAATGAAACCAAAAATTTAAAAAAACGGAAAAACAACTATTTTCTTCATTATTTGTGTCAAAAAACTAAATGGAAAAAAATTATAATGATTCGTTTTTTCAGTTTTCGATTTTGGGTTTAAGTGATTAATGGAAAAAACGGATAACGACCGTTTCCGTGACTTAAACTGCGACGCCGGACTTTTGCGCCACATACGGACTAAAACAGAACTAAACCAGGTCTAAACCATGTCTAAACCGGTCTCAGTGCTGGTCTCAGTCCCGGTCTGGTCGTGGTCTCAGTCCTAAACCAGGACTAAACCAGAACTGAACCAGGACTGAACCAGGAGTGTCGGGACAGGCCGTAGGTGCTCCCGCGTAGACTGTCGGATAAGGAAACCAGGGCCAGGCCGGGACTGAGACCAGGACTGAGACCGGTTTAGACCTGGTTTAGTCCTGGTTCAATTCTGGTTTAGACCTGGTTTAGTCCTGGTTCAATTCTGGTTTAGACCTGGTTTAGTCCTGGTTCAATTCTGGTTTAGACCTGGTTCAGTCCTGGTTCAGTCCGGCATCGTTTAAGTCAAAATAGAAAATTGAAAAAACGAAACGTTATCATTTTTTCCATTTTGTTTTTTGACACAAATAATGAAGTTTTTTTTTTTCTTCGTGTTCTTATTTTTGGTTTTAATTTGAAAAACGAATGAACGAATGATACACGGATTGTAATAGCTTGTGATTAAACGACCAACTTAAAGATCATCCACTAGAGGGCGGAACACAACAAGCAGGAAACAGCTCATTCCTTGATGAAATAATTTGCGAGTTCCTTCCACTACCACCTCTACACCTGATCTTTGTTCAAATGTGGCTACACAAAACCTGGTGGTCACATTATCAAACACTGGAGGTCACGGGGAGGCCAAGTTGTGACGGCAGCACATCAAAGTCTGGGGGCCAGTTCAAAGCGCCAGTGTGCAATTTCAGAGCAGTTCAACCAACAGAACAGAGGCAAAGAATAGAGCGCCGCAGGTGGGCACTTTTGTCCACTTCTCCGCGCCTGTTCGGACTTCTCTACTTCCTATTTGATGATGATAGATGATTGCATGGCTTTTCCGTCCTTCAACTTTTTGATTTTTTTCGTCTGGTAGGCCTATAGAAATGATTTTGTGATGTGTTGTTGGGCCCAAATCCGTGTTGTGTGAAATATAATAACACGAAATATAAACTTATTTCCCATGATCACAGCAGTTCTCATCTAGGGGTTTAGATTGTATCACTCTATTTGAAGCATGTAGGTTGTTTGAGCCAGTAACCCAGAGTTACCTTAATGTTTTGCTCAACACATTTGATAATTTAGCCTATTTATAGCTGTGTATGGCATTGCCAGAGTTAGACTGATTTGTACTGTTGTGTAGTTTTTATTTTTGGTAAAACATTTCACTCAAACTCAAGGTTCAGCACTATTGTTGTGTCTATGGGCAAGACACTTCATACACTATGTCTAGTTTACACTGGATAGGTTTCTGTAAAACTTTGCCAAAACAATGTGGCACTGGTTGGCTGTAGCACATGACCATTTCAGCAAAGCTTTTTACTTTTTATATTTTAAACTACATCAATTGTCTTATGTAAGTACAAATTTTAACTTCTTTGTCCTGTCTGCTGAGTAATTTTTGTCTACCATCCCAGGCCAGTGCCATCAGGTCCACCACAGCAGCAGCACCAGACTAGGAGTGGACTGTTGAGAGAACTGTGTCCCTATGGCAACTCACTGTTTTTGTTAGCACTTGTGAGTCAGACAAGCGGTGAGTCAACGTCAAGAGGAAACACACACACACTTACACACAAATACACACAAGTACACACACATACAGTCACAATCATATTCACACACTCCCTCTCAGTTTCAGGGAAGCCAAATAAGGACAGCTCACAGCAACAGGCACATTGGCAGATCAGCGCTGGGCTAAAAACTGAATAGGCTAATTAGAGGTGAAAGACGTGAAGCCAGGAAATCAAATGTTGGACAAAAGTAAGAGCTCAAATGGAGTATAGAGAGATCCAGAGGGCACATGTGTGGGCATGAACCCTCCTCCCCGTGCACCCTTCAAATGGGTGGGGGTAGTGGAAACAAATAAGGACACACCCAGAGGAGCACACCTTGGCTTAACTTGCTAAACCACACTTTTTTTTTTGTCTGACACCAACACATGAATTCTATGGCCACCTGCTTTTTTATTTTACTACTTACAATGAAAAGACAAAGTTGAGTACTAACATGCATCTGCTGACTGGTGAGGATTCAATAATATGCATAAATTTATAGGTATTTAGCTTGGGTTCTGAGCAGTAGATAAAAGATAATTTCTCATTTTAAAAGTTTTACAATGTTATAAAAACAGTATTAGAACATTCTAGCTGTAATACTTGGAAACTACTTTTTAAAGTATTTAATTTATAGTGATTTATGACTGCCAAGAAAACGAGTCTAACCCCTGGCTCTATAAAACTGTTAATGCTTGTACAACATAAATAAGCATTAAATCACATATTTCCTTGTCTGTTATGTTCACTTATGTCTTGGTTACAGGACTATTATTACTCATACGAACACTGTTGTAAACAAATGTATGCAACAAAAAGGTTTTAGTCAAAATAAAAAGCATACACAGGAATACCATATTAACTACAACTGCAAAATACAGTTCACTAATCAGAGGTATTTTTATGACTATTTCTGACCTGCTGATTTTGGATTGTTATCGCATACCATGTAATTAATATAAAGTAGGCGAAAAAAAAGGTAGCCCAGTGATGAGATATTAGCACTGTTGCCATAGCAGTTGACAATACAAAACTAAATATTCTTTTGAACAGTCAAAAGTCCTCGAAATGTCAGATTCAAATAGGAATCTGAACCCTGTGAATACAAAATAAGCATAACAATTATTAGAGATCCCTGTATTAGAATTTGCTTCACTAATCCACTAAATAGGTGCAGTTTAAACCAGCCAATCACAGTGCGAGCATAATGAGGAACCACCCTTCGGTCTAATCTCTTCAAAGATAACACAACGCACTTAGAATATCACCTGTTCTCCAACGGTCCACTGTAAATTGCAACACACACATTTGCAGCTCAAACAAAAGAAAAGTTCAAAAGTTGTATCTCTTTTTCGGCAGGTGAATGGCAACAAATCTCAGGTGGAAACAGCATGGCTTAGCGGTTTTACGAGCAGAAAAGAGAGTGGGGTCAAAGGTCGACTGCTAAATAGGATGGCAGCTGGAAAGGGGGTGCTTATAAGGCTGATGTTACAGGAACTGGACTAACAAGCCAGGGCAGAATGTGGTGCAGGACTGAAAGTGGCTTCAGGAACCAAGGGCACAGTGTGTGTACGTTTGTGCCTGTTAACACACAAGTGATTAATGAGATGGAAGGAAGTGAGGGGGCCGCACCGTGTCACTCCAGATGAGGTCAGTGGTCAAACGGAGGAACACAAAATGCAATGTGCACTGTGATAGATTTCCTGCCTCGTCCACAAAATCCCCTAAATAATATTATTCCTAATTTGGGCTATTTCATTGACATTCACTGAAACAGATGTCCAATGTATTTCTGCTTCCTCTTTACACCTGCTGATTGTGTAGTGTGATTAGATGAATATAAGATCAAAATTATCACATGCAACATTTGTAGAGTTTCCCTTAGGGTATTACAGGATTGACATCAGATTACTAATTCCTTTCCATGTAAACCAAGGGTGTCCAAACTTTTTTCATCAAGGGCCACATATCTAAACAGAGATGAAGCAGAGGGCCGATCGAGGGCCGCAGACTGATGCTCAGTATAGTGAATAACTGAAATATGTGCATGTTTAACACGTTAGAATGAGCCATCCGTCTTTATTCATGCTAAGATTCTTAAAACCACACACTAAATATTAAATATTGACTTTATCAAAGTAGATTTTCAAAATGCTTGCAGTAAAAAGTAAATTTTTGATTGATGCAAGCTAATTTGGGCCAATTTACCTGGAAGCCTGAGGGCCAAGAATGATTTGTCTGAGGGCCACATTTGGCCCACAGGCCATAGTTTGGACATGCCTGGTCTAAACCATACCTGGTAGTCAATGCACGATCTTGTCATATCCCACATGCTAAGCAAGGCTGGGCCTGGTTTGTACTTGGAGAGACAAGTCAGAAATACCAGGTGCCACAGTGGGGCAGCAATGTGGCTCTAGTGGAAACTGATGTTGTGTCCTTAGGCAAGAAACTTCACTCACATTGTCTATTATGAAAGATGTGTCTGTGTCAGTGCTGGTGTTGAACAGAGAGGCAGATGGCTCAGTTTGATAACCTTGCTTCTGCTTCTGTCATTCTACCCCAGGGCAGCTGTGGCTAGAGTAGTATCTTACCAAAACTAAGTATAGAGTGAATAAATAATGCAATGCAAAGAGCTTTGGGTGTCTTGAAAGGAGCTACAGAAATCCACTGCCTCATTATTATTATTATT